ACAGACAGAGAAAGAGAGAGAGAAAGTGAGAGATCACCCTCCAGGGAAGAGGGCCACACCACAGTCCTCTCTCCTTCATCCTCCTCTTGGAATTTTAGGCATGCATGCACACATACCTGACATGAGTTTCAAGCCACCAGGTCCAGGATTTGAACCATAGTCAGTCACATGGGAGTCTAGAGTTTTAACCACCAGGTCACCTGTCAGCCCTTTTTTAAAGTTTCTACCAGCTTAACAGTGACTGATACAGCTTAAAATGGCTTTAAAAGGACCTTACCTGCTGGTGGCACAGTCAGTAGCAAATTGAACTGCAATGTTAGAAGCCACATGGCTGACCGTAGGTTTGGATTCCTATTGGACCTGAAACATGTAAGGTGTGTTCTCATATGCCCAGGATCTTGACAAACTGCAAGGCTGGGAAAAAAGGATTATAATAAGTCCCCGGAAAGCCTGCTTCTCTTTCTCTTTCTCTCTCTCTCTCTCTTAATGGCTACTATGGCACAAAAAAGGTGAAAATGCCTGACTATATTCTTAATTGGAATTCTCAGTCGATTTGTTGTTAGTTTCTGGAAAGACTCTACATTGCTAAATTAAAATTCACAATCTGAAGTAAAATAAACCTTTGGCCTTAGGCAGTACAGAAAGACTGTGTTTTTGTTACTTTCTGCCTTGTGACCTAGAAACCTGGGATTTGTATCACTCAGAAAGTTAAGTCATACCTGGGCACCTCTCCTTAGTCAATAACTTCATATCTGTATCCTTTTGGGTACTATCTCTCCTGTTCCCTCTCAAAAGGGAAGAAAGAAAGTAATACATGCATCCAAATACAGGTGGATGTAGTTCTGGCAGGCATGGCAATAGAGTTGTAGTGTGTGTGTGTGTGTGTGTGTGTGTGTGTGTAATACTTTATCAGATCAGAGAGAGCGAACTACACGGTGGAGAAAGAAAATGGTCCACCAACATTCTAGAAGAGTTGCTTTATTTAAATACCTTTTATTTAAGCCAGTTGATGGCAGGGTGGTTAAGGCAGCTGGATCCCACATGGCCAGAACTCTCCCTCTGTCTCTCCCTCGCGAGTGCACCCATCCTCTAGCAAAAAGCAAAAGAAGACAAAAAAATAAAAAATAAAATGCTTCTATCATTGGAATTTAGCCCTGAAGTTAAATCTGCTCTTCAGCCTTGAAGCTTAGATATTTTCTGCTTTACAGAACAAATTTGTTTTCTACTAAAATCCAAGTATCATAGGATCAAGGGCAAAGGATCACTCTTATCTGTTGGAAAGCATTCTACATCAGTAGATTTTATCACAATTTCAAATATGTAAACAAATAATAAGTCCATCAAAGCTAAACTGGATCAGGGAAATTATTGCTTGACATGAAGAATGAAAACCTCAGAGGAATAGCTAATGTAGAACAGTGTACCAGAAATAATATTTTAGAAAATTGCTTACTATCCTTACATATCTACTGAATGACTCAGAAATAAATGCTGTGGAGATTAAAATACAAAAGATGAAAGAAACAGAAAGAATAACTGAAAGGAAATAGAAAAATTAAATTTGCCTTAAGAGACAACAATAACAAGATCAGATAATGTGGAAAGAATGCTTAAGTTTCTCCAGGACTTCAGAGGGCAAGGACAAAACGATCAAAATGATGAGAGGAAAAAACAACCAATATGGAAAACAGAAATCAAATCTGTTGGTAATTGTTTAAGAAGAAAGAGAAACAGGATAAATGTTTAAAAACATTAATGAAATGGAATAAAATCTTGTTCAATAAATAAGTAAAACAGGTTCTTACCATTCTAAAATTTATTTGTTGTGGTCTCAATTTTTTTTATGCTTCATGAGAATTAGCTATTATTAAAAAATGAGAATAACAACCCATAGATGAAAGATTTTTTAATGTGTTACCTTTTTAAAAAAATATTTCCTACTTCTGTGATTATTCAGGTTTTCTTGTTTCTTAACAAATTTATAGTTTGTGTTAACCTAAAAAAACTTATTAATGCTGAATAATTGTTCATGTGTCAGCCTACATATAAAATAAAAAGACTTGAAGTCAGTGCATCAGTGGAAAATAAGTGATTTTAACTTTTCCTACTTTTTAGCCTTTTCTATTTTCTGTAACATAAATAATCACATGCATAGTTTAAGTAGATATTTTATTAAAATATACATAAGAACAATGCACAAATCATGACTTAAAAGCTCAACAAAGTATAACAATGTCCACAACCTGTGTAAACCACTCAGATTAGAAAATAAAACAGGGCCAGCCAGTGGCTTGGTTGTGAAGCCAGCTGGATCCCACAAGACCAGCTGTGCAGTTTGGTCCTGGACCTGCTGGCTTGAAAAATACACTGGGCATGCGTGTGCATGCCCAAAAATCTCAAAAGGAGAAATTGAAGAAAAGGGATTGCAACATGACCATTCCCCATAGGGTTTCTTTCTCACTTTCCCTCCCACTCTTTGGCAAGTGCACAAGCCCTGTGGAAAATTGGAAAAAATTTAAAAAGAAAATAGAACAAAATGAATATCATTAAAAGTACTCTTTACTCTTTTCAAGTCATAAATCACAATCCTTCACAAAGTGGCCTCCTGGATGAGCTGCTAGTATTGTAATTAAGGCACTGGATCCCATATGACTGATTGCATGGTTTGAGTCCTAGACCCAGAACATACCAGAAGCATGTGTGTGCATGCCCAAAATTCCAAAAGAAAAATGGAGGAGAAGGGATTGTGGTATGACCATCCCCCCTTGGGAAGGGCTGTTGATTTATCATTTTCTGTCTCTGCTCTCTCTGGAGAGTGCACATGCCCTATAAAAACAGGAACAAAATAACCTCTTTCCTAAATTCTATTAATAATTCTGTAGATTATTCAACCTACATTTAAGTTTTACATGAATGGAATAATAGAGTTGGTACTTGTTTTGTGTGTTACCTCTTATTCTTAGTGTGATGAATACAAAATTTACTTATGTAGCAGTAGTCCAATTTTCAGTGTATTTCGTCTTGACCAGTGTATGTG